AGGATGGTATAATACTCATAAATCAATAAACATAATACACCAAATAAACAGAAAGAAAGACAAACATACATGATCATATCAAGATGCTGAGAAAGTACTTGATAAAGTACAGCACCTATTCATGATAAAAAACACTCAGCAAAGGGGGAACAGAGGGAGCACATCTCAACATAGTAATGGCCATATACAAGAAACCTACAATCAACATTATACTCAATGGGCAAAAACTAAAAGCTTTCCCACTAAAGTCAGGAGCTAGACAAGGATGTCTATTTTCACCACTTGTATTCAACATAGTATTGGAAGTTCTAGTCACAACAATCAGACAAGAAAAAGAAATAAAAGGCATCCAAATTGAAAAGGAGGAAGTAAAACTGTCATTATTTGTAGATGACATGATAGTATACATAGGAAACCCTATAGGCTCCACCAAAAAACTCTTGACCTAATAAGTGAATTTAGCAAAATAGTGGGATACAAAGTCAATATTCAGAAATCAAAGGCTTTTTTGTATTCCAACAATAAAATGTCAGAAAGAGAAACTAGAAAAAATACCCATTTATTGTAGCAACAGGAAAAATAAAGTACCTAGGAATAAACTTAACAAAAGAGGTAAACGACCTGTACTAGGAAAACTGCAGAACACTGAAGAAAGAAATTAAGGAAGATACAAATATATGGAAACATATACTGTATTCATTGATTGGAAGAATCAACATCATTAAAATGGCAATACTACCCAAAGCAATCTATAGATTCAATGCAATCCCTATTAAAATACCAATGACATATTTCACAGTTTTAGAACAAATATTTCAAATATTTATTTGGACCCAAAACAACCCAAAACTCACCTCAGCAGTCTTGAAGAAGAGCAAAGTAGGAAAGATCACAATAACTGATATTAAACAATACTACAAGGCCACTATAATCAAAACAGTCTGGTACTGGCATAAGACCAGATATACAGATCAATGGAACAGAATAGAGAGCTCAGAAATAAATCCATGTCTCTATGGTCAATTAATATTTGACAAAGGGGCCAGAAGCATAAAATGAAGTATACCTCTTTAACAAATGTTGTTGGGAGAGCTGGAATGGTAGATAGAAAAAAAATGAAACTAAACCACCTTACACCATATAGCAGAATAATCTGAAAATGGATAAAAGACTTAAAAATAAGCTGTTATACAAAAAAAAAGTCCTAGAGGAAAACACAAGCAGTGCAATTTCAGATGTCACAAGCAGCAGTATTTTTGCCGATACATATCTAGGGCAAAGGAGATAAAGGAAAGAATAAATAAATGGGAATGCATCAAATTAAAAAGCTTCTGCATGCTAAAGAAAATATCATCTAAATGAAAAGAGAAACAACTGTATGGGAAAACATATTTGCCAATTATACCTTGGACAAGGGTTGGATCTCCAAAATATATAAAGAACTCATATGACTCAACACCAGGAAGACAAACTCCAATGAAAAAATGGGCAAAGGACCTGAGCCAACACTTTTTCAAGGAGGACATACAGAGGGCCCACTGGCATATGAGAGGATGATCAACATCCCTAGCCATCAGAGGATGCAAATTAAAACCACATTGAAATACAACTTCACACTGGTCAGAATGGCCATCATAAACAAATCAACAAACAACAAGTGCTGGGGAGGATGCAGAGAAGAGGGAACTCTAGTGCACTGTTGATGGGAATGTGCACTGGTGCAGCCACTGTGGAAAACAGTATGAGATTTCCTATCAAACTAAAAATGGAACTGTGTTTTGACCCAGCACAATTAGACCCTGCTGGAATTATATGCTAAGAATCCTGAAACACCCATTCAAAAGAACCTATGCACCCCTATGTTCATAGCAGCATTATTTACAATAGCCAAGTGCTGGAAACAGCCTAAGTGTCCATCAGTAAATGAGGGGATCAAAAAACTGTGGCATATTTGCACAATGGGATACTACACAGAAGAAAGAAAGAAGGAACCCTTACCTTTCTTGACAGCATGGGTGGAATTGGAGAGTATTATGTTAACTGAAATACACCAGGTGGCAAAAGACAAATGCCATATGACCTCACCTATAGGAGGAACCTAATGAACAAAACAATGAGCGAAATAGAATCAAAGACATGGAAAGAAGGAACAAACTGACAGGGACCGAAGTGAAGGAGCAAGAGGGATACGGGAAGAAAGAAGAGGAATGGTCTAGTTAAAGAACAAGTATAAATGACCCATGGACATGGACAACAGGGTGGGGTTTGACTGTGGGAGTGACGGGGAGGGTGGGGAGGACGGGGGGAGGAGAGAACAAGAGGAAAATTGAGTCAACTATAATAGAACAACATTTAAAAAAAAGACTTCAGGAATCAAACAATATGATACATGATTGATCTAAAGTCTTAAACATAGAAGTTGTAAACGATTATATGTTGAAATAAAAAATAGTGACACATGCTTAATTGGAAGAAAACAGGTTAATAATGAATGCAAGTAAAGGAAGATTGCAGAGTAAAAATGGGGTCATCTTAAACAACATTGTGTTTGGTAGATATTAATGTTCAAGTGGATAACTAGCTCCTATGACCTTTCGAAAGTCCCCCTTGTAGTGTGGGATAAACCCCTCCCCAACTCCAAAACCAAAACAAAATAACCCCCCACCCCCACCCCACCAGGAACTTCCCTCAGAAAATCAAGATCTTTGTAGGATTAGTTCCTGGCCAGGCTTGCTTCTCTGGATCCTCAGATAGACCCAGTGACACAGCAAGGAATGAAATGCAGAAGTGTGTGCATAACAGATAGGACAAATTCCTGTCAGTGTGGTAAGTCGGGCTCTTGAGGGCTGAAGCACCTATTCTCCCCACACAAAGCCCGAAAAAGGAGCAAGCCATTGGTTCTGGGCCCCCCTGATCTGGAATGTTTCCCATTCTGAGAAGTCTACAGAGACCACAGAATTCTCCCGGGGGCTCTCTGGGGAATCAGGGAGGCACAGAGAGATTGTGTCTGCTTACTCCATCATCTATTTATGATAGTGTATATAACTTTTTCACAACTTGTATGTTCGTTTGGAGAAAAAAATAAAGTAAAACTAGCTTTAGCCAAGTCTTAGTTGGTATTGGGGGTCTGGCATCCACCTTTAAGCTTTTGAAATACGACACTAATAAGTACAATACATTTCTTTTTTAAAAAAACTGTTTGTTAAAACATTATTGGTACATTAATTCTCATGTTCATTCTCAGTAAATAACAAAACCACTTCTTTCTGTACTCAATTCTTAAGAATCTGAGAAATTACAAATATACTTAAATAAGGAACTAAAAAGAAGAGAATTCAAAACATGGAAATTTATGGTAGTTAAGGTACTTAACAAAGGAAAGAACTTTGCTTATTTATGGAAATGTTGATGGCTCGGTTCCACAGAAACTCATACACACTTTACTGTTTTTTTACATATTAGCTTGGTGGGGGAAAATAGCAGTTTTCTTTAGTTTTGCAGTTTCCTTACAAAAGTATGTAGAATTCTAGAGAGATATCACTATGGTGTTATATAGACCTTGATAGAACCCTGATCAAGTCAAATCTAGAGTCAAATATGCTTCAAAGATTCCAAGAAACAATTTGAAAACAAACAACACAATGTGTATGGGTTCATGCCCATGGTCCATCCAAACTGTATTCTGTCTCTGACTGAGACAGCTAGAAAAACCTCCATGATATCACTCCAGAAGGAACTGGATAACACCCCCCACCCTTCCCCCCTGCCCTTACCACCCAGTTTCTCTTAATAACCCAGATAAATGAATTGTTTGTGTATTGATTCATATCTCTCTAGAACTTATTTATATTTTCAAACTGATTCATATGTGTGATCATGAATGTATTAAATTTACTATATTTAAAGGGGTTGTTTATTTATACCAAATATCTTATTCAAACAATTAATAGAAGCATTTAGAAAAGTATTTCAGAGATCAAGAGGTTCCCTTAAAATATGAAAACATGCTACTACTGGTTACAAAATATGATGATACATTTGAATATTTACATTAAACCACAATTTAACCCAAATATACACAATATAATCTAATTCTGCAACTTCCAAAAGGCTTAATAAAAATGTGACAATGTGTGGATTAATGTAGTGCAGGGTTATCACTCCCGGACCTCTGCGACTACAGACTTTATGTCATTTGAAGGTGACCTCAAAGATTATCCTTGAGGCTTTTAATGAATATAAGGCTCAAGCCAAGAGGCCCTCCTGGCCTCCTAATATACTCTGACATCTAGTTTCTAACCTGAGATTTGGCAACAAAGTCTCTGTTTTCCTGCTATTTCTTTCATATTTGATTCAGATTTTCTGTAAATGGTAATGATTAAACTATTCAGACTGAGTAGAAGAAGGGGGAAAGTGAAAAGTTGGCAGGAGATAAAACTGGTCGGACAAAATCTAGAATACTAAGCGAGGTTAAAAAGGAGCAAAGTCGCAAAAGAGAGGCATGACGTGGGGCAATGTAGACAGTTTGTGTTGTGGCTAAACTATTACAGCTACATCTATATGTCTATATCTATATTTCCACATATCTCTATTATTCAAAAATTTTACTTTTAAATAGGCTACTGAACTGGCCTCTGGCCACCCCCCGCCCCCTCCCCGGCCCCAGCACTATACATCCGTCCCCTAGAGACCATAGCTTAGAGCAGGCAGCTGTGCTGGCTTTCTTTTTCTTTCTTTTCTTTTCTTTTTTTTTTAATCCACACCACAGAACATTTTTTCACTACTTTTTTAGAGAGAGAGGAAGAGATAGAGAGAAAACAGGGATTTAAGAAAGAAACATCAATTGGTTGCCTCTCCTACACGCTCAGACTAGGGATTGAACCAATAACCTAGTTATGTGCCCTGATTGGGAACTGAACCCTCAACCTTTTGGATACAGGATGATACTCCAACCAGTCGAGCCACAAGGGCCAGGGATGGCTGATTTCTTGAGGCTTCTTACTTATTAGACAAAATATCTGGAATTTTGACATGAACTTTGCCAATTTCATGCATCTGATGTGCTCTTTCTCTTGATTATTTAAGTCCTAACCAGCAGCCAAGTCCTTAGAGTGGGAAGATTCCTCTCCAGCCACTTAATATTTTTTGATATGGTTTCCAGAATAATTTGAAAAACATCCAGATGTGATCCTTGGGCTTTAAGAGACTCGAAGAACAGTTTCACCTGAAAAATAAGAAAGAAAAGAATTACTGACATGGTTCAAAAAAACACTTTCTCTTTCAAAGGGTTTCAAAACAGCTTGCAAATTATCCAAACACAGGTGCAAGCATTTCTCTGCCAACCTCTAAAAGGTTATTTTCTTTTTCTCTTTTTCTTGCATAATTATTACTTCACTTTATCTTCAAACAATAAGTAAAGACAGGAACCATAAATCCTCATCTTACAAGAGAGCTGTGATTAGGCCAAGTCATAGTTAGTAGTGAGCTGGAATTACGTTCTAGGATTCTGAATTTGCTTAAAGTATAAGTAAATTCAAGATTTATTATGGAAAGAAAATGTAAAACACTAGAATGCTCTTAAAAAGACAAGTAGAGTTACCAGCAATCATTTTTAAAAAAACCTTTAAGAACTCTTTCAAACTTCAATATAATCATTCATGATAAAATATGAAAATAACACAAAAGGGCTCATTGCTCAAGGGTAGTTCTCATTTTGAATGCTATGTATTTAAAAGGTTCCAGTACTTTGCCTTCCATTTACTTGCTACATGACATTGAACAAATAACTTATTTTCTTTTAATAAAATGAGAACTTCAGACCAGATTGCACCTAAGTTTACTTTCAGTTTCAGCACTTGAACATTTAAATTGTTAGAGTCACAAACCTCTTCCAACTCATCCTTGGAAGAAAAGTGAGATGTTGTGCCAGAGAGGATCATTCTCACAGCAAACGAGCCTAAGTCAAATCTGAAAATAAAAAGAAATTTAAATAATTGAAATGCTGTCCTTATGTTCATTATATCACATACTTTTAAGTATATAATGTTAATAGCTCTATGATGAGATTGAGTGTTACAGTTGATAGTATTAAGAATAACTGATATTCATCTAATAAAATCCCAAAGCTATAAATTGATCAACTTTGACCATAAAATTAAAAGGTAGGTAAAGCTAATTTAGGAACTATGACTACCTTATTCAGCAATGTTTACATTTAAATTTATGTTTATGTTTAAAGCATCATTGTCTACATTTTTTTATTATCTGCCCCATAAGTAAAGATTTTTTGACCTATAACTTCCCAAACTACATTTTTTTCTTTATGATTTATATGCCTATATTACGTAATAGGTAAAAAAAAAAATTTAAACAGTATAATAAATAATGTATGTGGTAATATTTTCCTCTTGCCCTCTAATGTATTATCTTATACACTTCCCCATCCCATTTTGGACACCACTGTGTTTAAACATTATATTTATTAGGGCAATGTTATTTGGTGGAGCTCTCATTGGCAGCCACAGACTGTATCCTTCACCCCAGTGTCAAAGGGATTCATGCTGAAAAGCAGAGTGCAGATACGTCTAGGAAATGGTTCCAAGTCTAGGCTCTGCACATGGTTGGGCAGCAGGATAGTTGCCAGTTACAAAGGAAACCTACAGCACTGCAGAAAAAGTCCGATCATTTCAGGAGAGAACTGAGAGTCATGCAAACAGTCAAACCAATGATTCCAGTAGGATTTTTAAGGAAACACACTTTTTAAAAGCAGTTTCTAACTGGTTTCGTGTGGATGTCAACCCCTTAAAGGTCTGGGAGAGGGGAAGAAAGTGTGGTTTTTCTTACACAAAGCTGTCTGTGAGGACTCTTGAGTCCTTTAGGGCTAAGAAATGAGAGGTAAGAGGAACTGGGAATAACTGACATCAAAGGTCTAACTGAAGCTAAAATGAACAGAGAAAATGACACAGCTCTCTCACTCAGGGTATTTTCCATACAGTATTTCATAAGTGATGTTTTTTGGGTTTGGTTGAGAAAATGGTCAAATACCTTAGCAAGGGGTATGTTGTAAGAGAAAGCAATGCCATTTTCTACATTCCAATGAAATCTAATCTTTACTCCCCCCCCCCCCCCCGCCCCTCCTCCTGGGGATATTTTAGGCTCAGGAGCATGCTGGAGTGAACTCTAGTTCTCCCAAAACTTGAAAGCTCAGAACAGACTCAGAACCAATCCAGTTTTGAAGGAGGGATCCCAAAACACTTCAAATCAGATTTCTTTTAGCCCCTCTACATTCCCTGCTATTCTACTTTTACTAGGAGTTGGGATTGGCTCTCATCACAATTCCTGAAGGATCTTCCAGAGCAAAAAGCAAGCCCAATATGTCTGATGCACTATACATGACTTCACTGAAATCCTCTGGGTTACGGGAAGGGCCAGGAGGAGTTGGGGGGATGGGGCTGATGACTGGATTTAATTCAGCTAGTACTTGTTCCCAGCAATTCTTTGCCTGAAATACATAAGATAAATCTGTTTCCCATTCCCTTCTGCTCACTTCTCTCCCTTATACGTGGACAGAGTAATCTGTGCAAGTTAGTTTTAAAACCAATAGATTTCATTGAACCATTTGGGTGAAATGGTATCTATCATTTTTAAGCGTTGGGGGTCACTTGGTTACAACTGGTTTCAGGCAACTGAGACAAGTGGAAGAACACACAATTGAGATAAGTGAATACCAACTTTTTAAGGAGATGGGCCCAATTTTCTCTTACGAAATTCCAGGCTAATTTCTGCCCTGTTGGATTTCTAGCAATGGTATGAAGAAGAACTGCCAAGTCCTGTGTCTTGATCGTCTTTCCTTCCATTCCTAGTTTGATTAATCTGAAGAAATAAAAACCACATGATTTTTCACGGTATGTATTATGTAATGAAAATTAACTTAACCTACCAATATATTAAAAGAATAGGAGAGAAAGAGGCATGATAAAATATAATTTACCAAAAATAGTAATAAATTATCTATTGGCTGACATTTTAAATGTTCTAGTTAAACTGCTACTTTTTTCTAGAAGTAATTTTATTCACTTATTATTTCAAAGAACTTTGATAAGATTTATACAATATCATATACAAGAATATATTTTTGCAATAATTTTCCTTCAATGTTCTGAAAGTAAAACTTAGCTATTTGCCTAGTGTCAATCACATAGTTAATAACTAAGGAATATCTGTTTTTGTGATTGACATTTTGACAATTTGCTTTTTAATCAAAGCCATTTAAATCCCGATTCAATTATTATATGCCTTTGAAATTGGTGACTCTAATTTTAGTGACTTCACTGTATTTGTATTAGTTTCCTTTTAGCCACTTAGTTAAATTAATGCACTTACTTCATTAACTTTTCCTGATCTTTGCTGGTTGTCAGTGCATACAGAATTTTGTTTCTTTCAGCACCTGACACTGACAGTTCATATTTCTTTAAAAGGTGATTCCATCCTCCTGTTGTCTGAGCACCCACAGAATACACAATCTTCAAAACATCTGTTGGGATACTGTGATATTAAGCACAAAATAAAAAAGTTTTATGAAAAAATAAACTACTTTTTCTTATGATTTAAAATTCTTATAACAGAAGCACCCCTGACTTATTTCCAGTATCTAGCAAATTAAACCTTTTGTTCTGCCAAACTTTTATACAATTATTTTACGCAATATTACTTTGCAAATTATTTGTATTTTTCCTACTGATGACAAAGTGTTAGCAAGGAGAATAATCATGAAAATTGAACCTGCACAGAGAGGAAAAGAGAAAGTGTATGGAATCAATAAATAAAAGATATGATTTCTGAAATATAAAAGCACTGGTTTATACATAATTCTGTCATTAAATAACCTGTATTGGTGCTATATAATTTTTTAAAGATGGTTACTTGCTGCTTTAAAGTCACACTAAGAGCATATTTTAACAGGCCTGTCTTAGGGTCATCTAACTCCCTAGACCTAGAGAATTGTAATTTAGCACAATTGGTTACTATTTAGTCATTTTACAATTCTGTAGAAGCGATAAGGTGCAATAATACTCTTTTTCTGTCTATAATTTTTGTGTTTTTTTATCGTATAGGATATTAACTAGCTTTGACTCTAATTCACTGTACGGTTTTAAAACTCAAATATGATTAGATCAATAATAACTGAAATTCATACTGACGGCTTGCAAAAACCACAACACAGAAAAGCGGGGATGGGGCAGGAAATTTGTATTTATCATGCAGTGACCATATGGTAGGGATTGCACTAATCTGTCCGTTTTATGTAACCGTCAAAGTGGTCCAGTGAGATAGTTATCCTAATTTTTTAAAAATAGGAATAAAGCTCAGAAAGTTTAAGTAACTCACTCTGAGGTAGCATAACTAGCCATTTTGGAGACAGGATTTAAACCTGTGATTCTGACCATTGTGTTATTTCCACTATTCACATTATATGCACTTAAATATCCCAAGTGCCATTTGAATCATAAAAAAAGATTAAGTAATTAAATAATTAAATTATAATCCACATTGTTTTGATTTTAGTGTATTTTACTGAATACCTATTTAATAATTGGTAATAACACATGAGTTCCTTGCAGTTACGACACAGAGCTGTGTTGTTCACTACTTTACTTTTAGCACTTACAGCAGTGCCTGGCCCATGGATGACACGCAAAGAATTATATTACGAGTTCATAAGTGAATAAAGTAACCAATCAACATACGCAAGGAAATTCTTCATGAGTATTTGAAGAATTACTCATGAAACGGTCTTGAAGTTTAGAAAAAAAACCTACAATATTTAATTACAATTCTTGATTACAAGCATTAAAGAGCTTTACTCAGAATATTTTCACATGCACAGCATTCTATTCAACAACACATTGAAACATCATATCTACTGTACATGAGTTACTGCGGGTAAGGTCACCCTTCGTGTGGCTGGCAGAACCACAGAATGGTAGTCTGCTCTGTTATGGGGCAGCAGGATGTTTACATGTTAGCCGTATTCATAACAACCTGATGAAAAAGAAGAGAAAAACAGCTAAAGAATTTTTTTTCTAAAACTGATTTTAGGCCTAAATCCCAAAGAGCAGAAATATCCAAGAAGAAGGAAATTGGAATTGCTTTTGTTTAAAGGAAGATTTCAAGAAAAGATTTCAAAAGCTCACTGAGATTTAGCTACGTGGAAAAAAGTTATAATAGTACATCGTAACAATTTTACACAGGAAAAATTGACACCATGTCATTACATGGAACTAAAGTTGTGAGTTTTTTCTTCTGTTTTAAAAATGAATGTTAATTCACATCCAGATATGATTTCTAAAAACATCCAACTCTAGAGTGACAGTTTTAACAATAATAACATAAAATCATGGGTTGAGCAGCAATCAAGGCTTCCTTTGAAATGATCGTGGGGTCTGTTAGGGCCTACAGATTGCGGCCACTAAACTGAACTGCAACAAAACCCATTCGATCACTGGGCATCTTTCTGATTATACTAACCACGGAATCAATTTTGTTACCGTATAATTTTTTTAAATGGCTGAAGTCATCAGTTTCCCATCAAAGTTGGAACTTGGGGCCAAGGCTTGGTCTGTGGTATTGGTTAATGAGGAAGGAAGCACATTTTTTTTTTAAAAAGGCACCCACCCTTTTTTCACAAGTTTCATCAGATGATCACTGATGTTTTAACTGCATGTACATTTTACATTGCTTTTATCTTTAAAGGGCATCACTTTTGGAGGTGGGTGCCCATCTGCTTCTACCCCTGACTATCTTTCTGTCACCATGCCAATGTTTAGTTAGCTCTTCCCTGTAGGGACTTAAACTTCACTTTCCCACAAAATCTACTGAGTACCTACTATGTGAGAGCAAGAAACAACAGTACTTAATTCCCAGCATGTTTTTCTTTTCTGTCCTTACTACAAGATTTTAACGTTATTGTCCTGCATGATAAAATACTTTTACATAAAAGTGAAAGGAACAAAGAATAGGACAGGAGTCTAGATCTACTTTAATTTTCCGTTGGATTCCATCTGCTGAGAGAAGAGTTCAGCTGCCTTCTGGATGCAAGGAGCGTGGTTCAGGTCGCAGGCCAGCCTCAGGAGGTCTGAGCGGAGCATCCTGTCCCCGACGGAGCCCTCGTCGCTCCAGCTTTGCCTGTCAATCACGGGCTTAAAATACTGGAGAAGGTAATGCTGCAGAAAGCACAGGATGGTTTACAGAGAGGCTAAATTTAGTTCTTAAGAAGGCTCTGACCCATCTAATGGCTCAACTCTAAACTATCTGCGTGAACCCTTCCCAAAACACAGAACTGCTTATCTGTATATTTCTCTTTCCTTTTTCTGGCCCCAACCTGCCATGCTTAAGAAACAGTGTCTCCATTAAAAATATGATTTAATTTCCTATCTGAGAGGAGGCGATCAATTGATATAAGATAAAATCACATTAGGAGGAGTGTTTTTTGCTCATGATCCTGGTATGGCTCTTAGGATGGTGATAACAAGGAACGAGGGGCATCCAACCGTTAGGTGTGTTAACTGTGGTGTCAACTGTGCTATCAGCCAGTTTCCTCAGCTTCTCAAAAATTTACCTCCAAGAGCCACACAAAACAGACCAAGTCGCACTGATCCTCCAGACACTGTATTTACATAATGAATTTTCTGAACATAGAACAAACCTTGAGGTTTTCAGTGACATCTGAAATATTCCTTCTGTCCATCATGCGGTAAAACGATTCTAAGTATCCCAGACCTTTGAGAAGTGCAAGGCTGTTCGTTTCATGTTGGAGATAGCGAGTCAGGTCGAGGGCTTTGTCTATGGTCAATCTTCCTGCACTAAAGTATAAAACAGATGTCAGTGGTTTGTGCATATCTTACAGTTCTTAATATTCTTAATATTAACATTAACTATGATACAGAGATCAGTAACAGGAGAAGTCCATTTTAGCCAGACTATTTGGTTTAAATCCTAGCTGTACCACTCACTAGCTGTGTGATTTTGGAAAAATTACCTAACCTCTCTGAGCCGCAGTTGCCTCCCTTATACATGGGCCGAATAATAATATCTTCTTTTATTGTTGTAAGGATTAAATAAGCTGATATGTGTAAAGCACTTCGAAAAATGACTAGAGCACATAGTAGGAGCTTTATAAATGAGATAAATATTAGCTAATATTAATATTTAATATCAAATAACATCAAAGTGTTCATATATTATGTCACCCTCTAATTGTTTAACTTAGGGCTTTGAATTGTTCCTCAAAGTGAATTTGGAACTTTGAGGACAGGTGTTAGGATTCTTCTTTTTCTGATGTTCCTCCTAGAGCCTAACAGAGAAGCAGTAATTATTGTGAGTGGTATAAAACAAGTATTTCCATCTTAGATTTGTAATCTATTTAGACTATAAAGTTATATACCTTCTCAATATTTTCTTTTAATGAGAAAAACAAACAACAAAACTATTATTCTCATTACCAAAGTGGTAGGGTCTCTCTCTTCTGCAGAGGAAATATATCATTGTAATGTCACTTTTGTATAGTGATTTTCAGATATGTTTCTGAGCAGAGCTGTGTCCCCACAACAGGGTCTAAGAGCCATTTTGCCAGCCTCAGACTCCCAGACTAAGCATAATGGCTTGATATGGTTAACAGATTCCAGAACAAAGGATGTGTCTATTGAATTTTTCATTAACATAATGCTCTATTTCAATTGGGTTTAAAATGTTTTAAATTCTGATATAAAGAGGGAACTAGAACTAGAAAGATATGAAATTAAAAAGAACCAACTTCTGCTGTGATATTACTCTTCTCAATCAGAATGACATATTGCTTTAAGCAGACTAATGGAAAATTTTCCAAAAATTTCATCTGAAGACAGAGGGCTGAACCATATGGTCTGCTATATTTTATAAAACACAAATCCACAAAATTGCACTATTCCTTTTCACATGTGTAAGTATCATGGTATGTAGTGCAGTTGATACCTATGAGCATCATCAATAGGAAGTAACTGGGTCACAATTTATTCTATGGTCACAATTTTAAAAAGAATATTTAACTTTAAGTAATTACTTTATACTAATCCTGTTTTTCTTTTCTTTGGCTTAGACTAATTTATTTCTTACTAAAACAAATGCCATTATTAGAAAACTTTATATATGCCTACTTGAAACATTTTTAATCTTAATATTCATTTAAAAGGGATTCTTTTTCTTTTTATACAGTGATTGTTTAATAAAAAGCCAGCACCTCACCACCTGCACAAAATGTTATCTGAATGTTTGTTTACCTTAAGATTAAACACATATCTAAGCATATACTTCAACCCAACAGGAAAAATCTGTGTCTACTTATTTGTATATAGTTTCAGCTAAATGGTAGCTTTGTGAAATAAAACCATATTCCTATGGAACCAATTTAGGGCTTCTTTTCAAGGTGTGGGGCTAAAAGAAACAAATGGTTTTTCTGTAAGGAAATTAAAGTTGTCATTTTAATTCCACTCAACTCAGATGAGATCCAAGTCTTAAATTATATTTTAAAAGTATGAAAATAAATATCCGTTCCTGGATCAAATTTAGTCTTCAAACTAAACGTGATCACTGATTACTTCCTTTAACTCTTAAATAGTTATGTCATAGAGCAGCAAAGGAAGAACTATATGTTATTGAGGGAATCTAGCAAGTAAGAATATTTAAACTGATTATGAGAGTTTTCAATGGTTTCCTTATACAATTTCTTTTATTATAAAAGTAATATAAATGAATTATAAAACAATTGGAAATTAGAAAAGAGGGTAAAAATGTCCATAATTTCACTACCCTACACATTTACTACAAGCATTTTGGAATATATCCTTCTGAGATATATTTCCTTTTTTTTGCTTCTGGGGTTTTTTCCTTTTTTTCACATTTAACTTATTTTTTCCCCTATGCTATTGGAAGCATAACAATACACAAATGCACATCATTCTAAAGGCATTTTTTCAACTTCACGTTATTTAAAACGTATTTTTCTATATAGTCACCTCCTCTTCCTATTCAACACGTGATCTTTTAAACAATATCTATTAGATAATACTATCAATGCTAACAGCTGACATTTATTGGTAAGCCACCGCGCTCGGTGTTTGATCTGCCTTATGAAATCTTCAAAACACCCCTTTGGGATGTATTATTTAAACTGGAGTTTTAAAGACTAGCAAAATTTTACAGATTAGAAAATTTGGGCTTAAAACAGTTTAATAACTTGCCCCAGGTTAAACAGTAAATGAAAATTTAGTACTTGAATTCATCTGTTCTAAACCAAAAATTTTACTCTATTTATTTATATATGTATGTATGTATGTATTTAGAAAGATGGGAAGAGAGGGAGAGAAACATCAATATGTGGTTGCCTCTCGTGTGCCCCCTACTGGGGACCTGGCCCGCAACCCAAGCATGTGCCCTGTCTGGGAATTGAAAGGGTGACCCTTTGGTTTGCAGGCCAGCACTCAATCCACTGAGCCACCTCAGCCAGAGCCAAAATTTTTACTCTTAATTAACTTCATTCACCATTCCATTTAGCAAAGAAAAGATTATTGTTTTTCCATGGATGCATTAATAACGGTAGTGTTCCTTCTGCTAAATTTAGGCTACCCATATATTTATAGGCTAGAAACAGCAAAAAAGACTTTGCAACTAGTGGAAAGATTGGCTTTCATTTGCCGAATTGTCAATACTCTTCATCCTTTCTAGTCTTAAATTTTTAATCTACTTTCTCTGCAATCTATGAGTTTCTCTTTTGGGCAGACAAACATCTTTTAACTAACAATAAATGGATAGACTACTAGTCTATTATGTATCCACTCAAGTGTAGGATGGTCCTTTTTTTAATCCTAGTTTTCAATGTGCTGTGATCTTATGATGTTCCTGAGACCTGTGGCACTGAGGATTAATCATTCAATCCTCTCCCTTTTCTCATTTGGGAGCTCAGTTGTACGGAAGAAAATCTTTGTCTCAGAAATGTCCTGCTGGTTATTTTCACTCAGGTTGACCTAAATAAGCATCAGGAAGGAAATATGTCACACCGAATAAAATGAGTACGTTATAATAATTCTCAGAACAGGAAAAGCTTACAATGCTCAATACTTTACCTGATCCCCATGTCCCCCTCCAGCCCCGCCCACCATTAGCCACCCTATAACCTGATTTATTCTACTGTTGATGATAAGTGGGAAAGGAAACATCATTTCTTTCCAGGAAAGTCTAAAGAATAAACATAAGCAGCCAACTCTTCCTTCATTTTCCTTCCAATTTCATAAAGGTTTCTCCAATGTGAGCAAAGTAATAAGTGGACTATGAACTACACTAATGATTCATTTAGGTTAAGACCATATTTTTAGTCTTTGTTCAGCAGATTACAAAGGTATTTGGTGAAAGAGCAGGCTACTAGCATAAACAAATTCTAAATCTGGGGTTAAAAGCTGACATGCCTAGAGGTTCCCCCCTAAGTGAATGAATCCAGCCATTTATGTATACGGTCTGGGATTTTGGCACATGGAAGAGCACAGGCCTGGCCTATGGGGGATCATCCAACTGCATCCTCCTCTATGGTTTCCCTGTGGGAATGAAGGTCCAAAATTGCCAAATCTCCTCATTTTTAAAGAGACTCCAGAAGTTAGGATTTTCATATCAAATTCTTCATGTTTTAAAATGTTGGATTAAATTTTTAAACGTTTTGTGGGTTATCAATGTTTATCAAAGACTACCTTATCAGCAGGTAGGCTTTCACCTAGTAGCCAGTATTTGACCTCTGTTCACACCCATATCATATGAATGAATATCACTGAGTGTTTGATTTTTGAAGTCTGGCATATCTGCTTATGGATCAGTTATTTACTGTGAAATCAGATGAAATTTTACATTACCTTACTAGCTGAAATGCATCATGAAGCAGACTTATTCTGTCCTTAGGTCTGAGAAGTGTGTGGTTCTGATTCAGCTGTGCAATGAGTTGGTCCCATCCATGCCCCTCGTAGTGAACGATGTAGTAGCCATTTGAGTTCATGTTGAATTTCACCCAACTGGTATTTTCAGGTAAACCTAGAGTATCTAAGAGGAGGAAATGGGCATAGGCATTTCATTATCAATATACACACCAGACATGTTTCCAAAACTGTTAGTTTTCATGTTGTTATTAATAAATCAATGAGAAGACAAAATTTGGAAAGAGTCATGATGATGCTGATTTTCATAGTCCACTGGATGCTTTCTTTTCAGAATAATAGTCTTATTAAATTAATAATTAAATTAATTCATATGGAAAAGATTGCTAAATTTGTTCTAAAAAACAATTGATACAGGTCTAAGAGGCCTGCAAGGGCCCAGTGAGCCAGATCATGAGCATGACTGGAATTTGGTTTGATTTATTAGTGGCTTTATCTCAAGCTTTAGTTACTGATCATTGAAATATGTATATGTAAATAGGTGATTCATTTGTCCAGTCCTTGTTTTGGGTGAAATAACAACTCCAGTTTGAATATGATGCTATGATGGAAACCCTCTCAAATTTCATTGAAGCTTTTAAGGGAAAATTAAAGTATTAAGTGTTTTTTAATATGACAAATATTATATTAGGTGGTAAAATAACATTATAATATTCTCTTAATAACTCTGTGAGGCCTAGTCCTCATTCAAATAAGGTAAGAAAATTAAAGTTTAGGATTAGTTTAAAAAATTTCTTGCAGTGCCCAGTGTGGCTCAGTTTGTCGGAGCTTCATCCCATAACCAAAATGTTGCGGGTTTGATTCCTGGTCACTGTGCATATGATCTCAGATCTGGGTGCTTATGGGAGGCAACCCATCGATGTTTGTCTCTCACATCGATGTTTCTCTCTCTCCATTCCTCTCTTTCTAAAAGCAATGAAAAAATGTCTTTGGGTGAGGATAAAAGAATACAATAAAATTAAAAAATAATTTTTGTAAGGTCACACACCTAATAGATGACAGAATGATGATATGAATCCACAGACAATAAATTCCTGACTGTATGCTTTTTTATACTATACATTTTTGCCTCATGGCTTAACAGCTGGATTCGTGGGTATTAAAAGACATAGGACAACATGCCATCATTTCTTCATACAAATAAAACTTATCTCTGAATGCTAACCCACTAAACCACCCACTAAATGAACATTTTACTTCCTAACTAAAATATTCTTTTAGTAACTAATATATGGATAAATGAGAAATACCCCCAAATTAAATTACTTATTAGTAGTATTTTTATTCTAAATAGTTCAGAATATATTTAATTTCGGAATTGAAACACTTGTTTGGCTAATCAGTTCCTTACCTGTCTTTGATTTTAGAACGTGTCTGTAAATTGCTTTAGAGAAACTCGTGGAGTAGGTCAATGGAATATGCCAAAGGTACCTATGTTAGAAAGTAAATACTGTTACAAATTAAATAAATGGCTATTTTAATGTTCACAGTTTCACATTGTCAAATTCAGATAAGCCGTAAAAGACACCCAACCACCCATCCTTTACATTATTGGTGGCCTTATAAATTTTATAGGCCAAGACTAGCAGATCCTTGGGTATGAAATAATTCTTCCATGATGATTATGTGCAGCAATACATACCTAGTTGAATTCTGTCACAATTACCTGTGCCATTTTCTGTCTAAATCTCATGCCACAGTGAGTTCTTTTAATTGTTTTCTTTAAGGAGGAGAAAAACATCCAGTCTTCCTTTCACACTTCCAAAAACTCTGACAGCCTGACACTAATTCAAATAACTGAATCAAAGCTCTAGGGGGAAGCCTTAAGAAACCTAGATCTTATTGCAGCATGATTTTCCACTTATCCTTTTGCTCAACAATGCTAGCCACATCCAACTGCCCACTTGCTGACTGTGAGTGAGTGGTCAACAGCTTAGGATCTGCAGATTAGCAAGTCCAGAGAGCAGAAAAGTAGCACGGACGGGAGCAAAGGCCTCAGTAACTTTTCAATGGCCCTCCTATGGTAAATAACAGAAACCTTCACTTTTTTATAACTTTCTAGCAGCTTCTAGGATTTATTTCTTCTATCACATTAAGCCATTTTAGCTATAGTAATCCTGTGCATGTAAAAATCATGTGCTTGAAAATACCAACATGTGTACAATGGAAAGGAGAGTGAAGATCTTCCAATTATGCCTCAAAAAATATTAAAATAAAAGAAACAATGTACACAGAGCCCATCTAGTAAAGGGTCAGAAGGGCTTATCTACCTGCCAAACCACAAAGGGTACAGATAACTAAAAAAACAATTGAAATATTTATACAAAAAGATAAAAGTAGACCGATAGATATTGCCAAGACAATGGAATGAGATCCCTGGATGAACCTTGGATCTGGAAGGAAAGGGAATTTTCCAGATAAACATATCTGGGAATAAAAAAGAGTGAGAATAGCATTTCATAAGTTTGAATAGGCATGGGTCATAGTGTAATAATTTTATAACAGTAATCTAAAAACTGCCTTGGTTAGAGGAAAAGTACAGACCACTGTAGATCTTTGTTATTCTGGACTATACACACTACTGAGCTCTCTCATGATATTTTGATAAGTTACAAAATTGTGAGTCCTGCTTTCCCAATAGTGAATCAAACATTAAATTTTCCAGGCTGTATTGCCAAGTTACAAATTGTCTAAGCTCTTTGAGGTTCGGACTTCAGAAGGACATACAGAAAAATAGAAAGCTGTGTGTAACATAGAAAAGTAGCACAAGAGTTGCTGTTGGATTGGAAATAAGTAACTGATGAAACAAAAAGAGAAAACATTCTATGTATATATTCTGTATGGTAAAGACCTTGAGTTTGCTTCTGATTCTCAGAAAAATTCTAGAATTTGTTATTAGACAGACAGATGTTTAGGAAAAAAGAAATAATCTAAGAGCCAGCACAGATTCACTTGGATTATTTCACTTTAAAATAACCCAATTCCCCTAGATAACAGGGCTAATAGATCAGAGAAATGTGAACAGTGTTGTGTTTCTTAATTTCAGTAAAGCTTTTAACAGGTTTTCTCAGGATATGCTGGTGAACAAGACAGCGTGGTTAATTGGATTTGCTTTTATTATTACCAAGGACATCATATATTTTAAGACATTACATTTATAGTTTATTACTGAATATAAAAAGACAACAGGAGGGCTAAGCAACTAATTTATCACATAGGTACTATCTTTTCTCTCTGATAATTTGTATAGCTGTCATAACACTTTCTAGGTATAGGCCAGACACACAACTTACTAGGGCCCAGAATCCTAGTAGTGAAAAGAGTCAGTGTCTACTATAATAGAACCCTCTGCCACCCTCTGCCTCAGATCTGAGATTCTAAAGGCGGCTGCAGAATTACTAAGAATGCAGCTGCCAACCACCTAATGGGCCACCAGCAGCTCTTTAAATCTTGTTATCAAGGCCTCTGATACTTGTGTAGAAATAGCATCCCACAGTTGCCAGAGAAGCTGAAAGAAAGTTAATGCCCTAACAAGCAAACTGAAATGAGGTAAATTAGAACAATAAAAGAAAAACAGCCACCTTTCCTGCAGGGCCCTCCATTCAGGGTCCTCTTTAAACACCCCGCCCAGGAAGCGCTCCTGTCGCAGTCGGAGCAAACGCCCTTCTCGCTCAACAACCACAAGGGGAATTCCTTTCTGCAGAGTCCACGTAGCCATCATCTCTTTGACCTCCACATTTTCCCCCTGAAAGGTGAGCTGAAATGACAAGTGACTGTGGTTAAGTCAACACAGCGGGGAGAAAACAAAGAGAAATGAGAAACTTAGGGCTCCAGGGACGCCAGAAACAAGGCTACAGGCAGGGGCGGGGACCGACGCAGGCTGCAGCCTGGGCAGAGCAATGCAGGAACTGGACGGGGCCGTCTGCGGGTTACCTGAAGGAGGATGTACGTGGGAGCTTGAAGGTTAGCGCTAGGCAGGAAAAGCCTAGAGGAAGGGCTTGAGGCTGCAGCCTTCCTCCTGCTCCCTTTCAAAACAAAAAGAAAAGAAACACCTCTCCGTTTAATAGTGATGGAGTCCAGGGTGGATGGCTTAGGAGAGAACTGGCTGTCTTTAGGGGAAGCCTTAAATATTCCAACAGAATGATATGTCAATAAAGGTATATTAATGCAGAACAAAACCTCTAGCTTCCTAGCTTCTAGTAGGCATTGCTGATCACGGGATGATGCTGAATCTTCCTTTAGAAAGTGTAATTTATGGGCTTCCCATGACTCTTTAAAAGAAAAATTTGCCTTTTGCGCCCCCCCCCCATTATGACTTTATGTTTTCTCTCGTCTACAGTGCTCCATTAACTTCCCAGAAGTAAACAAAAGACAGGGCCTCAAGAAAGCCAAAAGCCATTCACTTTATTTCCAAATCTAACATACTGGGTTTGGCATTTTTCAGAGTTTAAAGGATGCCAGTGCAGCAGTCACCACACAGAGGAATTTGGAGCTAAGATATTTTTAGCTAGCAGTGGGCTTGTGGGAAAGCTGACTTGTAACAACAAAAATATAGTAGTAACAGCATCATCCCCCTAAATGGCCTGAACTTTCCTTTTTCAGTCAGCTTTGTTTCAAGGAAAATTCTGGAGTACCTTTTCCTCTCCAGTTATTTAAAGGGACAGTTGGGCTGTTCTACACACTAATGCCAGCCAAGTGAGGGGCCAGATGTCTTCTGCTCTGCTGGTCTCATTATACTTACCATGCTGCTTGTCCTCTTGGAATCAGAATAACAAAATCCAGCAGATGTTAAATCACCTTCTAAACAATTCTGTAAGACAAGAATAAAAGAGCACTGCCATTTGGGCACTGACAGTTGACTGGATATGCATATTAGACATGAATGCAGATGTTTATTGTCATAGCCATATGAAAATTTAATTCATCTAAACACAACAAGGAGCATAGCAATTCATGAAATGAAAAAAAAGAAGGCATCTTCTCAGTGACCATAGGAAATACACAAAAGTTCCTTCATAAGTGGCTCTGCTCCTTATCATATCTCAGTGAATTACATTTTTGTATATATGCGTATATTTAAAGTTTGGTAAATTCAGTGTGGTGGGATAACTGTTCTAGGGTTGAATCAGTTTGTGGAATTTTTCCTTCATTTATTGGGATGGCCAAAAAGTTTGTTTGTTTGTTTATTTTTCCCCCCTAAGATGGCTCTAGCAGCACTTGGTGACTTTAACTTCATTCGAAACAATTTTGTTACATTGTCTTGTCACTGGTCATGTCAGCTTGCATTTTTAAAAAAACTTATCAAAATTGGTGAATTTTTGTTTAGCCATTTTAATATTGAAGGTGGAAAAAATACACAACATTTGTGGCATAATATGCTTTATTATTTGAAGAAAGGTAAAACACAACCAAAATGAAACGCAAAAAGAAAGGTCTGTGCAGTGTATGGAGAAGGTTCTGTGACTGATTGAATGTGTCAAAAGTGGCTTGAAAAGTTTTGTGCTGGACAGTTCTCCCTGGACAATGCTCTATGGTCAGGTAGGCCAGTTGAAGTTGATAGTGGTCAAATTGAGACATTAACAGAACAATCAACATTATACCACATGGGAGATAGCCAACATACTCAAAATATCCAAATCAATATAGTTATTGGTGAAAATGAAAAATGTGTATTTTATTTTATTGAAAAACTAAATTGGCTTTTTGGACAACCCAGTATTTTCTTTCCCTTGGGAAATGTACATTATTCTTTTATTCTGCATGTTACTCATGCCCTTATTTAACATTCAGGCAACTGTGTCTAGCATTAACTTCCTCCTACCATATCATAAGTTTCTTGGCATTGGGGGAAACACCTTTGCTTACCTGGCTATTCCCAATGACTACCACAGTAGCATACAGGGGTGTGCAAAAGTAGATTTACTCTGTCATTGTGACATTCTTTTGAGTTAATAAAGCTACTGTAATAGTCATAACTTTCATGTATTTTTTATACAAACAACTGTATATCTTACTTTTGCTCACCCCTGCAAAATGAATGCACAATAAATTTTGAACTCAGAATTGGTATAAGACCTAAGAAAGTCACCAACTTGGTAATAAACCCTTGAATAATCAGAAGTTAATGCTCTAAGGGCAACTGGAGATGGGAAAAACAACACACACTGTCTTAAGCTCTCAAGTGCTCTTAAATGATTTTAAGAAAAATAAAACAGAATTCTTCTGATTTCCAAGTTGCCATTGACAGGTGTTAGAATTGACATTATGGGACACAATGCTGAATAAGATGTTTTCAAGAATATCTCATTTTCTTACCAGTTTCATTTGGCATCAGAAGGGGGTGAACTAGAATATAGAACCTTTAGTCGAAGGTTAAATGGGAGACTTCCCTGATAACTAGCAAGAAGCTGTGATGTGATTGAAAGAACGGATACTGAATTTAGAGTCAGAAAACAGATTTTAAGCACTGACTCCATCACTCACTTGCTATATGATCTTGAGCAAATCTCTTCCTTAGTATTAGTTTTCCCATATGTAAAAAGGGGTAAGAATGCCTACTTTACCTTCTGGATATGGTTATAAGCATAATGTGACAAAAATTAACATAGCAATATTCACAGTTGGCTTTGAAAAAAATCCTCTTATTGTTGTCAAATATCTCCTTTAATTCCCCTCTACACCCGCTACACACACCAAAGACAGGCTGAGCAAGTAGAGCTCAACCTTAAAACTTGGACAGAAATTAGATATTATTATAATAGGAATTACAAAGTCATTACAGATTTTGGAAAATGGGAAGATAAAAGTGTAGGGTTTACAACAGAAGGGAAAACAAAGAGAAGGAGGTCAAGTATAAACCTCTGCAGTTAACCCAGTACGGCATCCTGGTTTAGAATGGAGCCAAAGGAAAAATGAAAGTGGTACCTTCTAAGGACCCTGGCAGTATGGCAAGTGGAATAAATATTTGTTGACTGACAATGTAATTATTTATAAATCTTTATAATTAGCCTATCACCTGATAGGCTTTACAATGATCTACTATAATCCAACATGACTTACATTTGACAGACTGCTCCATAAATCATCATTCTTAGCATTTCTATAGCTGAACTTATTTAAGTAATGAATAACTCCTTTCTGAAATTTCTCCTCACTTAGGAAATCCTTGAGCATATTCAATATACAAGCTCCCTAAAAACAAAAAAGACAACAAAGAAAAACAATATAAATATATAAAGGAAAAGGTAGTGTGATATGTTTTTAAAGGAAGCTTAATTTTATAGAACATGCATAATGTCTGAAAAATGAACAGCAAGTAAAACAAAAAGTGAAACAGGTGACCGTAACCTGGCAGCACAGCTTAACCTGTTGATTGCACAGGCCTCCTTATATTTCTCCTGAAAGCAGAGTTTCTACTGCCTACAGCATTTACTACCTTGTTGTAGGAAATCATGTCAAACATTTCTTGTATTTGAGTAGGAGTTTCTGCTTGATTGGAGATAGGATGGGATGAATTTAATGAATCTCTTTTAATTACTTCAAAACACACTTCCAAAAAATAGTCATCCTAAACAAGAGAGAACAATTTTTTCAGTTTCAATTTGACACATTCAAAGCAATAGAAAACATGCTAAGTTTAGTAATATATTCTTAGAAGTCTTCAATCAATTTTTTACAGTTCATTAAAAGTTTCTTTCCCCTTATATATTGCCTTTTCACCAATTCTCTACTTCATAGACGTATAAATCCAACATCTCCTCAAGATATGTCATGAACGTTTACTAGCTACCAAGCCTTTGGATATAGAGCTAAAACTAATGGTTCCTATTTAGTGAACACTTGCTATGTGCCAGGACCTTACATCCATCATCCGCCATCCTTTCAACACCCTGCATGGGAGGTGCATAATATGCATTTTACATATGAGAATATGCAAAGCATTGAACTAAGACACAGATTCAGCACATAGCAAATAAGAAGACACTAACTTTGAATCCATGTCTCTCTATACCATACTGGACCAAATGCCTACCCCAAAGAGCCAATATTCAAACTCCCTGGTGCCTATAAAAAGCCATGTTTGAAGAAACCTTTTACACATTTTGGGGAAGTAAATAGTAGGCCTTTTGTAAATTCTAGGGCAAATCTGCCAACATATTGATCTCAAACTTCTAGCCTCTCCAGAAATATGAGAAAGTAAATTTCTGTTGTTTAAGCCACCCAGTTTGTTACTTTATCATGGCAGGCCTAGCAAACTAATGCAGTTTGCTTTGTATATTGAACAGAACACCATAGATTAAAAAACACCATGCTATATTGTTTTCTCTTTAGCGTTCACTAAAAATTTTAACAGTAAGTTAATGATTCCTTAGGACATATTGTATGACATACAAGGTTATGAACTTACAAATTGTAGCTCTGGATATGTAGCAGTAATAGAGATAAGTTCCATGTATTTTGCAAAACCCTCATTGAGCCAAATATCATTCCACCATTCCATTGTAACCAGGTTGCCAAACCACTAGGAGGTAAAAGCTCAATGTTATTGAAAGTTTAAAAATATAGAAAATTGTTAACCATAGCAAAAAATATAATGGATGCTAACTTTCTTGTAGTAATTAGGGCCTTTCCTCTATATCTTTGCCACTCTTTTCTCTCTCTACAGTTCCTTCCATTGCAGTGATTTTCAGCCTTTTTCATCTCATAGCACACATAAAATAATTACTAAAATTCTGTGGCACACCAAAAAATATATTATAATTTTTGCATATCTGACAAAAAATAGGTGTAATTCTGATTCATTCAAATTGGACAGCTATTGTTGTGTTGGCTGTTGTCATTTTTTTGACAATCTAAGGGAAAAGAGGTCAGTGCCTCTACTAAATAGTAAGGTGTTGTATGTTGTAAAAATTCTTGCAGCCCTGGTCAGGTGGCTCAGTTTGTTGGCTCGTCATCCCTTACACCAAAAGGTTGCAGGTCGATCCTTGGTCAGGGTGCATAAGGGAACCAACTGACTGATGTCTCTCTCTCTCGCTCTCTTTCTGTTTCCTTTCCTCTCTCTCTAAAAATCTATAAACATATTCTTGCATAAGGATTTAAAAAAAATTTATTGTGGCACACCAGTTGGAAATTGTTGCTCTGAGTTCCCTGCCTTCTGGTCTCACCGCCATATTTTTGCTTGCTTCACTTTTCTTTTTTGTTCCCATTGCCTGCAGCTCCCCAACTTTCATTTTATCTCCTCCAAATGTTATATTTAACATTTAGCTCCTCCTAGCTATTATATTTAATATTCTGGAAGAAAATAAAACATTTTGTGGGCTTTTTCTCTCTCACACAACAACTGTAATCTCAGCTTATCTTTGATGTATGGTGATGGTGTAAGAAAAACTATAAGCCAAAATATCCTTGGTGAAGTTAACCTCTTTATATTCAGTAGCAGGTACTTAAGAGAATCAAGCATTCATTTAGGACTTTCAGACTGTTATATGATATTACTGATGGGCAAATTTTGTTGTTAATTTCTTCCTTGACATTTCCAGGGATTAACTTGGCTAGTAAAGTGAATGAATTTCTGAGATTTGAACTATATATACATAAAATTAAAAGGACGATTAAGGATAATCTAAATAGAAACTTATCTATATTTGATCTGTAACACCAGTTTTAAATACTACTATTTTTTCATGTACTTTTATATTGTATTTGTTTATTTAGCCTATATACCCAATATAATGCATATAGTGTACCTATTTTAGGATTGCAATCGTCAGAAGGACAGGGAACTTTAAAAGATTTTAAGATTCAGAAGAGCCTTGTTACAGTTATACAAGTAGAGAAGAGCAGCTACATCTGCAGCTTTTAGAAAATAAGATCTATTCCTTTTTTGATGACCCTCACATCATTTTGTGAGTGTGCACCAATCTTCCCAAGGGGCTCTGTGAGAAAGGACAGAGGTTGTTTCCTCAATATGAGAAGTGATGAACATGAGAAACACAGGTTGAGCTGATTCTGATCACTTTTCCAGTTAGCAAGAGTGGTTTGTTTATTCATTCATTCAGTGAGTCTCTGTGGAGAACCTATGTTCCTGGTACCATGCCATATGTTACAAATGTAAATGCAAATAATACAACCTCTGCCTCAATACAAATGATGGAGGTCAACAAATAGACATAAGTGCAATAAAGCGTTACTGATGCCATGATCAATATCTATACAAGGGACAGGGAGGATTCCAGCAGGAAAGAATCAGTTCTCCTTAGAGAGTGTGTTGATTAGTTAGGAAATGACTCATTTCCTAGGTCTTGCAAGTGGCCCTCAGGTATGTTGGGAGTGGTATGTGCTCTAGGCAGATCAGTAAAAGCAAAACCATAGAGAAGCAACACAACCTGGCATGTTCAGGAATTGGCAGTGGTCTGAGATGGTTAAAGCTTAAGGTGTCAGTAAGAGATGAGGCTGGAGAGATGGAGAGGAGCTGTGTCATCCCCATGGACCCCTGGCATTTTGTATGCCATCCTGTGGACCCCTGACTCACCCAGTTGGCATTGGGAGTCAGCCAGGGTTTTACACAGGGGAGTGACATGGTCCTATGGAGACAAAATAGTCAAGGCAAAAATTCCAATGCAACTTGCTGCTTCAACCCTATACGCTGCATCTCCACAAAAGAGAAGAAGCTATTAAAGGAAGACTCAGAGGGAGCCTGGAGATTTAGAGGTAGAGCTCACTGACTATGGCCATTTCCCTACAAACACTGGGTAGAAAAATTAGGAATCCCTAGACTAAGTTAAGTGCTTTAGAGTTACCAGTGACTAATAACCAAAATCCCTAAGATGGGACAGTGGGGAGATCCTAAATCAGAGAAAACTGTCCACATGTTCTCATAGCAAAGTGCTGAGCTTGACTCCTCTGTAATTGGGCACTTAGTTCACTACTTAAAAAAGTAAAAAAAAGTAAAAACAAGACTTATTATTATGGTGATGATAAAAGATAAAGTTAAAACTTAAAAATAAGAGTCACTACCAGATTCTACCTATGTTCCTGGTACCATGCCATATGTTACAAATGTAAATGCAATCATGTATTCACCTACATGGTTAAAGAGAATTTCTAAGGCCCTTCATAATCCACTGTGTCACCGAGGATTTTCAGAAATGAAATAAAGTAGAAATAATCTCTGATACGTATGGTGCTGTTTTATAGTTTCATATCTGTATGTAAGACAGAGTTGATAGTTGGGTCTTGGAACTCTTACTCTGCAAGAAATGGTAGCAGTGGCCATCATTAATGACTAATATTTATTGAGTGCCTACTACATGACAGGAACAGATACTAATTTGTAAACCTAACAACAGTTCCAAGAAGCAAGAGCTATTATTAACTTAATAATATAGATGAGGACACTGACGTGTAGAGAGGTAGGTAATGTGTCCAGGGTCAGCAGCCTATGAGTACTGAGGTGCGGCCTTATGGCCATGTATTCACAGGTCCCAACCAAAAGGAGACTGCTTTTGCCTTAGATTGGAATGTCACAGTACTAAGGGGTATAAGAAGAAATATATTTAATAGAAATCCCTTTTTGTAGGGTTTCCAATCCTGTGTTTTATGTATCTGCATACTTCCTACTCTACCAAAACACAACTTTAAGACTTTACCTTGAAGGGTTTTAGAAAATATAGTGACCAGTCCTCTTATGATAAAATTCCTGTGTGAGTCCCATAGTCTAGAACTGGAGCCTTCTGCTACTTAACACACTGTGTTTGGTTTGGTAATCCATAAGGTCCCCTATATAGGTTAAGTGATATACAGGGTCCAGCGGAAGTAACACCTGCTTGAGTGTGGTTGGTGGGGTAATAATATGTGTTTAATAATTTATAGTTTTAATTTGAACATTTCACCTAAAATGTCATATGGATGCTTGAGTGTGATATTGTTATGTTACAGAATTACATGCTTATGATTTTGTAATAAAAGATGTTGTAATTGGAAAGGGTGTTATTTGTGCCAGACCCTGTATGATAATTTTATATTGTTTCAGGAATATTGGTGGAATTCTGTATAATGAATGCTCTTTTGGACTGATACTAAGAAAATTTCATGAGTACCAAGTACCTGGTGTGCTAGTTCATGGGCTATGACTCTGGTGACCCACAGTTTATCAGAAGCAGAAGAGGTCTTGGGATCAAAGAGTAATGACGTCTCTCTATATGTGATGAGGCCCCAATTTTCCATGGCTCCAGCTTCAAAGTCAGGAATGGCAATTAGATCTAAAACATAAGAACAACCACACTTGATAATTATGTCTTCCACACCAGAGGTGAGATTTTCTTCTTCCTCAGGTACATTATGGTCCTTGCAGTGTATATAGCAGACTTTCTAAAAACATCAAGAATATCTGACAATTGACATGCTGTCTAATAGTTGTACTAAATATAGTCAGTACCCAGGTCAAGTAGAATATATTCTATCAATACAGTTTTGGTTGTAACTGATACAACCTATTGACATTTAACCATATTTTTTTTTCAAAAACTGCTGGACTCTGAAAATACCATGGATGCATTAATGCTATGAAAATAATTTATTTAGTATACTAAAAACTTTTAAAATAAAAGGTGTCAAATAATTTTTAATGTGTTTGAAATTCACCAAAACATATAATGAACTCATTTCTACAAAAATAGCAAGTTAAAAGATTTTAATTTCAAGATAACACTTTTAGGAACAATCTGTAGTCAATATTGCGATTAATATTTCAGGCACATATGGCCTCTCTTATGAGCAAACATCCTTTAAGGCATAGAGAAAAAATGCGGTGAGCACCAATTCTTTTTTACCTCAATTTCCTTTCAACATTGATATTTCCTCTACCTCCTAAGTCTTGGGCAGTGGGAGTGAAATTTAATCATTTTTCAGCAACTCAGGTATAATGTAGGTTAACTTGTATCCATGTATGTGTGTGTGTGGGTCTGTACATCCTTTGCCAGTGACTGCATGTAGGTTAGAAAATTAAAATTTCTGGCTAATATTTAATCTTGATTTTTTTTTGTCTGCCTGGCTGTTTTGGAAGAAATACTGTTTGGCTAAAAAGGAAGGTAGTTTTTTTTTTAAGTTTGTAATGAACCATGCCACTTGGCTTATAATTGCATTGTCTGGAATTAGTACTGGTTAATTCTGATGTATAAACAAATACTTAAAACAAAATAGAAAACAAAATTAGAACTAATAATTAGTATTCATTAGCACTTCAGTGTGGGAATGACTCCTTTTCTAAATTGCCCTGATGATTTCCTATTAGTTGGACTATTTCCCAAAGCCACTAGAGACACTTACCTGCTCTATTTTTTCTTAAACTGCATCCTTATTTTCAGTTACTTTAAAAATACATTTCATATACTCTCCAAGGCTGCATTTGTTGATGGGTCTTATTTGATCTTTCCTTGACTTTTGACATAGAGGACAGCAATGGATTGTGTATAAACTGAATTAAGTATATCTGTGCTAAGGACTATATAGAACCGACATTCTAATAGTACAATGGCACTCAGGAACTATAGGAATAAGCTCCTGATGTCTTTTACAGTTTCCTTTTACCTTCTGTAAAAAGAAAAAAATGTATAGAGGTTGGAGAGAAAGGGCAAGAAAGATATGATAAGAAGCATTTCCTAATATCCCAAAGAAAAATAAATGTTTTGTCTCTGTCAGAAACTTTTAAAAAGTAATCTACATGTTATAAAATTAAATCATAGTTTTTATATTTTCTGCAACATTATAAAAATCACAAGGTTTATTTTTAAGATAAAAAATTAAAACCAAGATAGACTATGTGTTTTTTAATATAAAGATCTACTACCATATTCAAATGATCTATTCTCTTCAAATCTTTTTAAAATCTTTGCCACAGTTTTTCTTATCTTCCAACCTCAATTGCAAGACAGAAAATAGATGAAGGGACAATTTTCAGCTGCTTGCATAAACCTTTGGCAACATTTATAAAACATTACTGGTCCTTTACAAATGTGGTATAGAAAAAAATGTGCTCCGGAAAATTCATCCAACTAATCCTAATATGCAATACAGCTATTTTAATATTAAACCCAATAAATGAAAAGAAAAATGGTCCACACTACTTGGGCTTCTCATAAATACCTTATTTTTTCACTCAAGGATCATCTCTGAAGTACAAATTATTGCTGCCTCTGCTAAATGAACCTCTTCAGTGCTCATTTAAATCACATACAAAAGGAAAAAAGTTAAAGCAAATTATATAAGCAAAAATAAAGACAATGACATGGACTTTGTACCTACCCAGTTTTGGGAGTGGATAGTTGATATCAAAGTAATTTTCATAAAAATCAAGCAGCTTCAATGATGCTTCCAAAGCATAATGAGTTTGACTCCATTTCTCTGGGGATGCATAGATGGACACCTGCGAAATGTTGATCAGAAAAAGTTGCCTTTGAATGACAGCTCCCTGGCACAGTACCGTTGCTAACAACCCTCACCCAAAGAAAGGCAGACTGCATTTTCCAAGAAATTGTTCAGATACTACTAAAGCATGCTGTCGATAGGAGATAAGATATTCTGTAAAGTATGAAAGCAAAGGCCACTCATGAAAATTATAAACAACCTAGGAATTATTAACAATCTATTCCTAGTCAGGGGTGTCCAATCTGTGGCCCACAGGCCGCCTGCAGCTCAGGATAGCTATGAAGGCGGCCCAACACAAAATCGTAAATTTACTTTAAACATTATGAGATTTTTTTGTGATTACGCGTTGCAATGTATTTAATGTGTGGCCCAAAACAACTTTTGCATTGTGATTTACGCATTGCAATGCGTAATCACAAAGTTTCCAGTGGTGACTCAGAGACACCAAAAGTTTGGATACCCCTGGTAGGTGTTAATTATAAATTTCAAGCTACAATATATTAACCTATTCAGTCAAGAGAGTCCACCTGAGCTCATCAGCATGATGTACACTTGAGAACCCTTCCAAAATTATGACTACTAGCACAGTTCAAATAAAACATAGTTTTATGAGGTGGGAAAGCCTTCAAGAACTTACTGGATCCAGCCTCCCCCACCCTCTTCCAAGTCTAGTTTACTTTAAACTCAAAAATGTACAAATACGTTCATTGACCCTCTTTAAAGTAATTAAGTAGAAAGAATACGGTTAGATTTTAATTTTCTTGGATTTCAAGTATAATGCTACTTTCATTTCATTATCTGCTTTCATGCTCCAAATTAATTAAAGTTCTTCAGAACTTTAATAGGAAAGATATGTTAATGGCCACCCTGTTTCGATGGATTACCAGGCACTGTGTTAAAAGTTTACATTAAACCTAAGTCCCCTCAGTAGCATTGTGGCATAGCTATTATCTTCATGGAGTTTATGTAACTTGCTCCAAGTCACCCAGGTGGAGTACTATAGACCTGGGATAAGAACCCAAGGAAGCTGACAGCAGACTGTTCTCTGAAATAAAGTGCCATCTGACCTCTCATCTATCTATAGCTATGCACATACAAACCTATGTGCAGAGATGCCGTGATATGTATATATCTACATACATGTAGGTATAATATGTATGGAAATTGCAATAGCCATTTTATAGCTATTTTCATAAGCACTATTTTATCGTTCTTTGAATATGCTTTTATGTTGATCATTTGGTTCCTCAGGGTAAGGAGTTCTTTTTAATTTTAATGTCTTTATTGATGTTGACAAAACTTTATAAAATAGTTATTGGGTATTGTAAATTTTTGCAAACAGTGAAGACTCTAAAAATTATGAAGACCTCTTCTCATCAAGGAAAACAATTGGAAACAATGTGAATGTCCTGGAATAAGATGTTGTTTAAAAAATCTGTATGGTACTTCCATACTGTATAGTACTAAGCAATTATTAATATAATATTACAGAAAAATGTTTAATTAGGTTCTATTTTTATTGCCTATTATGGTGAAGATTGACTGAACATTGTCATATATTATTTCATTAATAGTGTATATATATAATATATTCTGTTACTGTATATACTGTCATATACTGACATACATATAGAAAATAATTGGAAGGTAAACACTAATATTATCAGAAATTACACCCTGGTATTGGGATTATGGATACTTTATTTTTTACATATTTGTAGTTTGTAAAATAAGCATGATATTTTGATAAAAGAAAAAGCTTAAGAAAATAGAAGCTCAGTGCCCTTAGGACACGTTTCTGTGCTGTGTATGAAATTGGCTCTCAGTCTCACCTTGACCCCTGATGAGGTTGTCCCGCTCACAGACGTGAAATCACAAACTATGTAGGCTACAAGGTAAGTACTCATTTTCACAGTTGTTTCAAAATGATCTTCCAAGAGGCCTCCTTCAAGTTCAATTGTCTTAACCTGAAAGAAGGAAAAGAATCAGTATTTGAAAACTGGAGTAGTTTACAACAGTGCCTGTGCCTTAAGCCAGGGGAGGTTGAGGGAAGCCTGACACTCTGAAGGACACTCGACGCCCTTGTAGGAGATCAGCGGCCTCTCACAACATTCTGTGGCCTTGCCTCCCTTTATTTTTCTTATCCCTGGACATTCTTGAAGACACAATGCACTATTTTGGGGATTCCAAAATGTATCCCAATCTTACATTGTTGCCTGAAAGCATAAAAACATCATAGATGCTTCTCCTTTCTGGAAATGCAGTAATCTCCAAATTGGCATTAAGTTCTGCACTTCTAAGGAAAAATACCAGAGAATGATCCCTTTCCTTTTGTTATATAATAAGTAAATCTCTGTTGCGGAAGGAAAGGGAGGCAAACTGTGCTAGATGCTTTGCCTATTGTGTGAGGTAGGTGTTATTTCACAGGTGAAGAAATGTTAGCTGATTGCCCAAGATCACACGGCAAGCTCCACAGCAAGGCCAAGATGTGGATGTGACCGTGTGACTCCAAAGACATTGCTCATTCTTTCACTTGCGTGTGACACTCGCTATGTGACAGCTTTAGTCATAGTCTTATTTTTATCTTTGCCTTATTGATTTCACAATGAAAGAAGTCAGGCCAAGGAGGTCATTAGTAATTTAAGCTTCTTCCCATGCACTGATGAAGCAAAAGTTTTAGGCCTACAGACTCCTCAGCTGCAGCTGTCAAATTTGCTGAATAATTACTGAATTCTATCTTTATTTGCTCTGGAGAGCTTGTCCCAGAGATGATCTTCAGTATGGTACCATACCCCTAAATGCCGAGTGGGTCAGATCCAGTAATCTGAAAATACCACTTTCTTCTAATTGGTAATAACTCTTGGGCTAGTTTGCTCCCCTCCCCTCCACCGTTCACACTGCCCCCCACCCTTTTCAAAGTGTCAGGCTTGTGGCAGTGCTAACCAGGGCTTATTGAGCATGTTTTCTGTGTTTGGTTAAGGTTGCAGTTTGTTTTGGCGAGAGGCAATAGCTTGAAATATTACCATAAACTGCCTAACCTACTTCAATGACAAATGTTTGTGCTATTCTACAGAATTTAATTCTACAGATTTCTATAAAAAAAAAATTCCGTTCCTAAGTTCCAATAAAGGAGAACACACTGACCAAATACTCTAAGGAAGTTAGCATTTTATACAGGACAAATTAATTTTGCCCCAAAATAATCCCCCCTTTTTTTTTCTGATATTCAGCCAGAGTCCTATGGCTACATACTCCTAGCAGAAGGGAGGGTTATGGTGGGAACCAGGGAGAAGACATTGTAGGGTTCTGGTCCAACTCGCCAGCAAAGCCATTTAGTCCAGTGTGTGGAGGGGTGACGAGAGGAGGAGGCAAGGCTGTGGTACTATGGGGAAAATGAGAGTCTGTGACACTAGGCTACTGGTGGCAAAGATGGTTAGGAGACAGATGGGCATTCCCTCTGATTTTTGACCCCAGATAAAGATGTAGCCCATAGAGGTGGAGGGTGATCCACGTAGATTAGCATCACCTGAAATGGAAGTGGATGGAGGGTTAGTGTGAGTTCATCCCGGATGGTGATGTAAGCTCCATGTATGAAACACTTGTTGCTAAACGAGGATTTAGCTCTTTTCTCAACACGGCAGGACTCTGTTTGCACAGCAAGTGCCATCAGCAGCCGTGTGTTCCTTTACAGAGTGAAGGGCACAAAGAAATGCCCAAAAGATATGCGGCCTCTACCGGCGCTAGGCTGACCACCTCATTTCTCCTAAATCTTGTATTCTTAGCTAAACAAATTGAGAACTTAGTATGTGTTGTTTCTTCCCACCAATCATAATACTTCTTAAATGCTGCGACTATTATTATCTAGAGAGTATGACTGTAGCATGACTTCAGTTCTCCTCTTTTCTGGCTAACCACGGAAGCCTGGGTTGGCCATGTAAATGCGAAGCAAAACGTTAAGCCAATATTTGCTAACAATGGCATGATCCAGAGAACCGGCCCAGTCACCCGAGGCAATGCAAAGATTCAAGAATTGTGTAAAGTATTTTCAATGTGTTCACTTATTCAAATATGAGAAGTTACTAGAGGTTTCTAAAAGCAGAAAATGTAAACTCTAACAAAATGTTAATTTATGTTTGCATCACTCTTTAATTAAAAGGCTTTATGAACTGTATTTTTACTTTAGCATCCATGATTATTCATACAAAAAATTCTATTAGTAAAAAATTTCCAGCCAAGAGACAGGACTACGCTTTGCAAAGCAGATTGGGCGTTAAGGTAGCAGATCATTTTTACCTGAAAATGAGAGGGCTAATTAAATCGCTGTATTTACAATCTTGGAAAAACTATGCGATGGGTGTTAAATGGGCTGCTGTCACTGTTGCCCTTGATCTGCCCTGCCAGTATTTCAGGGCAAATACCTTTTCCAACATTAGACAGAAATCTCAGAAATTCGGCATCTAGCTGATCAACTCATTTCTGCCCTTCAGCCATGGAAGCCTTCACTGTTCAGGACAGCGAGGAAAGGGGGCGGGGCCCCTGGCCGGCTAACCTGACTCAGCTGCTTTCTGTGCTGCTCGACCCGCTGTCAGGAGAGCCTCTGCTTTTGTCCTACTTCACAAGTCGTGATGAGGAAACATTCTGCGTTTGGTTCAGCAACACAAATGGCAAGCACAGCATTAGTGAGGAAATGCCAAATGAAGTTCAGGGCCCACTGTGTCTTTCAGTGTCTCTGCATTTTGAGTATAAATGAGCCAAGTAAAAGTGTTTAAAGGTCACTTTTATTTTAAAAAAGTGTATAACCGCAATGAATAATTTTCATAAAAATTTTTAAGAGCTACCCACAGGACTCAAAAAATGAAAAAGGACTTCCAAGCCTCAGCACAGAATACTAGATGAGGCCACTTGGGGTGGGGCCCAGGCAGGGGTCCCCAGATCCTTAGGGCTCCCGGTGTGGGCCCTGGACCAGCAGCAGTGGCATCCATCACCTGGGGCTTGTTAAAAAGACAGAATTTAGGGCCTCACCCCGAGACTGACTGAGTCAGTATCTGAATTTTAACAAGATCCTCAGATGATTCATGTGGACATTAAAGTTAGAGAAGTACTGTTCTGCGTGATTCTGACCTTCATCTCTGGCCAAGTAACACTCATCTGAAAGAACAATGTTTCCATATGAACGCAAAGAAACTGTAAATCACTTTGGTTTGTTTTTTAAAAAGTTTCTGGTATAACAATGCCCCAAACAAGATGTTGTTAAAACCTAGAAGGACTGGGGTTATTAAATAATATGTATCATAAAACAAATTAATGGCTAAAGTCTTAAAAGCAAAGGAAACATTTTTAAAAGCAACACAACAAAGATAAAGGCTCAACTGGGGAACAATTACCCAGTATTTCTGAAAGTGGCAATACCTTTGGCATGTTGGATAGTGCAATGTGCCTGCTCTCTCTTCTTATCTTGATTGAAAAGTTGGCTTTGAATAGTGGTTCATCAAAGCAAGGGAAAGCTGTTCGTGCCTCGGTTGGTTCAAAATGTGTTACTGCAATTGTTCTGTGGAAAGAAGCACCCCAGCCAGAATACATAAGTGAAAACAAAAAAGAAATGAATTTGTACCTTCAAGACATAGCTTATCATTCCTGGAGGTGACATAGTTGATTTCTCAAACTATAATCTTAGAAAATCCAGGCTTTCTTTTTTGAAATAAATGAGGATAAATTTTAGTTTAGTAGCTGCCAATCATGAATAATGCATATGCTGGGCACCTTGCTTACCAATCCCCCTCATTCTCTTAGCAGACAAGGATATTAAGGCTCAGAGAATTGGAGTGACCTTACCAGGATCCTTAGCTAGTAATTGGCTGACAGAGGCATGCCCAGTCAATTTGAGGTCAACGTTAACTGGGAAATTAGTAGGCTAGTATCATCTCTAAACCGGTTGAGATCTCAGTCAGACATATGACTAATTCTGGGTCATGTCTTAGGGTGTGTTCCCAAGAAATAGATGCTAATTTATTAAGAACATGCTGCCAAGAGAAAAGGAGTGAGGGAAGCAGGACAGGGAAGAAGCAGCAGCCAGGCCAGGCCCCAGCTTTAGCCTGATCCCCAGGAGCTCTGCAATGGGAGCGCCACCTTCAGCTTTCCCCCTACTGCAGGCAAGGAGCTGGGCTTTCATATTTCTGTACCATAATTGGCTAAAGGTCTCCATGGGGGACCTATGGCCCCAGATACTCCTAGCTCCCTCTGCTTGCTAGCAAAGCAGCTTCAGCCTTCACACTGTAACAAGTAGACAAATCACCTTGATAATACCTGAAATTGTACAATTCAGACTGGAAAATAATACCAGCAATCGTATAATTCAGAGTGGAAAAGAGAAGCTATCAGGAAAGTCATAACAAGAGTCAGAAATAGCCTGCAGCTAATTACAGGCGGCACGCTGGAAGTCCTCCAGCCCTTACTCCAAAAACTTTTCCCATGTCTCCAAAAATGATATTCTTAACAAGTATTTCCTTTGGATAGAGCCTTTGTCACTTGAAAAAAAAATTAAGAAAAGCCATCCCAGGTCACATGGTACCTTAGTGAAAAGAAGTTGACAGGTTTTGTACCCACTATATGCTGGACCTGAGAGCAGACCCCTAATAATTGAGGCTGCAGTGGGAGGGAGCTTCCCCACTAGGGGGGGAGGGAAGGACTGTCCTAAGCGGGCAGCTGGGGCTGTGGGGGTGGGTGTATGAGCCTTCAGAGGCCGGGAGTAACTAAGGTGGGGAAGGGAAGAGGAGGTATGCAGAAGACGCTGCTAAGGTTGCCTGCTAACACCTGTTCCCCTTCTTCAGTTCCAGCAGAACACAGACTTTGTTCAATGTATCTTTCAACTCCCTTGTAACTTGGTAGGCATAGGACTTGTGGCCTCATTGAAGTCACTGGGTGGGAAAGCTTTGCCAAAGGAGTCAGATTCAGCTGGAATGTTTCTTTTTCCCACTTTCGCCATTTTCCCTGCCTGGAATGGAATGTGGACTTGATGCCTAGAGGTACACAGCTCCTCTTGTATTAGAAAGAAAGCCATATATGCCAAGGGTGGCTGAGCAGGAAGGTAGGAGAAGTCTGGGTCCTGGATCACACTGAGAAGCACTGCAGCAAGCCTGGATGCCCTACTCCCGGGCTTCTTTCCTCATGCGATAATTTAGCCCCTGTGTGCTAAGCCATTGTATCTGGGTTCCTCTAACTGGCTACTGACCACAACTGATAAAAGGTGATAGAGCACTGAAGCCAGGCTTCTTTTTCCTCCCAGATGGACCCCGGCTCTGAAGAACAAACTTAGCCTTTCTTTTTCCCACCTCACCTAACCAATATGTCTGCAAAATCAGTCTGTTTTACCCTCCAAAAGAAATGCCAAGTTTAATCATTTATTCCATAAGGCACCACGACTAGCCTGGCCCAAGCCACCGTTCCTTGCCTGAACTACTGCAATGTTCTCCAAAATGATTACTCTTCTACTTTTTCCTCTCTATAATGGATCCTTAACATACACCTGATCTTTATAGGCGTAGACCAGATCAGAACCCTCTAATAATCTCTCATTGCACTACGGTAAAATCCTAAACTCCTTTCAAGAATGATCTGACCCCTTTCAACTTTACTTCTCTCTTGCTCATGCTCTTTAGGCCGCACTGGCCTTCTTTTCTCAGTCAGTCCCAGGTTACAGGCTTTGCACTTGCTGTTCTCTTTTCTGGGGGCACTTTGCCCTAATACACTCTCATGATTGTGTCCATTTAAAAAAATTGTCAGGACTCAGTTTAAGCGCGCCTCCTTGACAAGGAACTCCCTGACCACTCAGCTAAAGTAGACCCAAACCCCTGCTCCACTTACTCCCTATTACAGCACCTTGTCTATATCCCTCAAAATGCGTATCATTTACCTTGCCCATATCTCACCCCTATACAGTCAGCGTCTAGAACAGTGTCTGGCATAAAGCATGCACCCAATAAACATGAGCTGTTTGAATAAACAGTATTTCTCAGTTTTCCAAACAGACTTGCTCCTGCCTCCTGGATTTGAGTCATTGCTTCCTGGGCAACCTACATACCTTTGTTTCCTCTTTCTCTACCCGAATCTCACTTATATTTCCTTTGGATCCCAGATCAAGGCCTACCCCCCTTGAGAAGCCTTCCCTATGTCATCCTTTCCTGTAGCACATAAACACATCTGTCTTATTACAGTCACTCTGGCCTCTACTCCCAGTTATTCTCCTTCCAGCTGTTTATGCCTTAGTATTCTTTCTTCCCAACTTTACTGCAATTTCCATAAGGAATGGTAGAGCCTCTCCTTCTTCCTAGGTTCCCACAGTTTATTGGGCTTTTCATAAACGATTGCTGAAGCATGCTCCTGGCAAAGAGAGGTATGACATAAGGAAAGTATCACAAGAGACTGTAAACATCTGGAGCAACACCTTACCTTGTCTCACCACCAAGAGTTCTGTACGTGCTTTTATAAAACCCTTGAAAAACATCAGCTAACTTGGCCTGAAAGTCAATAGCCACATAGTATCTCAGGTCAGCCAGAAGTTTCTCTGGAACCAGCAGAGCGATTTGTTGATGAGCGGGATAACTCAAAACGTTCAGCCTTTTCCCTGGTTTCCTGTATCTCAAATCTTCCTCTGAATGAAGGGTGGCATTTGTGATTTCAAGATCTTTGCTGTGTAAGATGATAAATTGGGTGGCATCTCTGACTAAGACTTCAATCTGCTCAGATGCAACAAAGTCCAGAGAGGTGAGATTTGGATGGACAGAAAGGTCGTAGTGGATGGGAATGACCATGCTGGGGAGCCTTAGCTCACGCCAAGGAAATGGTTCCCCGTTGGTGGCTACCGGGAGAGCCCCAGGGTCCTTACTGAACTGATCACTAGATGGCATTGAGAACTGAGAACAAAAGCATATTTCGAGTAGGATGATTGCTGCATAATAAAATCTTATGTAAACTTTAAATACTAATTTTCTGCGTGAATTAACCATTGCAGAAGAATGAACACTAAATCTACTCTCTAGAAGACAAGTCACAATGCGGGCTAAATTTCATAGATCTTCATAGCGCTGTATTGACTCTACTCCTGTTACTCAGGATCCGAGTAATGTTTTAATACGTTGATTTAATCTAGAAGAAAAAAAAGTTTATCGTGAACTTTTTCATAATAAAAAATTCATAAATAAATTCATAAATAAAACCTTAAAAAGTAAGAGAATGTGTGTGATTGAAGAAAGCCTGCTCTCTGTCAGAACCAGGCCAAATATCTACAGCATAAAGTAGAAATTGAGTTATCATCTGGTTATTACAAATACAAATTTTTTAGAGCTCAAATGAAAGAACTCTGCCTTCAAATTGCATGGAACGAATCCCCTCTGCATTTCTGTACAATGAGCAGAAGGCAGGTATGTAAATGCATTGCATGTTGAATGTTTCTAACATTTGGCTACATCATTCTAAGAGTATCCTGGAGACCTAAAAGTGAATTGCACAGGTGTCTCTAATTTATCTTCCTAAGTCACAAAGAAAATATTCTTTGGATACCAGAATCATTATTAATGACACTGGACTTTACTTCTGTCAATCAATAACACAACTGAATGGCTTTATTCTATGGCTATTGGTATAAAGGATGCAGGTCAAGCTACATGTTTACACTCAGACTACCTCCAATATATCAAAAGCTATGGAAATAAAATTTGAGTTTACAATATCCTAACTGACTATTTTAAAAATTGTTTTGGTCCTCTTCATCTTAGGCTACCTCTGAAAACACAAATTAAATGAAATTCACTGCCTCTGTAAATAGAACTAAAATGGTTTATTCTTATCAGAAGGGTAAAACTACCAAATATATAAAATTAGGACAATATAGTTAATATAGGTGAGTCAATTCTGACTGCCACCCTGCTCCAACTTAAATTCATGAATGTGTTCCATTCATTTTCATTTTTATCATTAACAAGTTCTGGAGAGCTACTTATCTAAACAGATACTTCAGTTTTCCAATTTACAGTATTAATGCAGATCAACAGGTATTGTTATAGGAATAAAGACAAAGAAGAATAAAATAATGGTTAAATTATATTTTAGATAAGTATTCAATTATAGATACCAAATCTTTCTGTTCCAGAACCCTCTGACACATAAAACCAAAACTGGCCTATTACATTGAAGTTCTGATGACTTGAAAAATGAAATAGCTTATTTGTTAGGTCCTAGGTTTGGGAAGTAGGGTGCCTGGGTCTAATATTAGCTCTGCCACTTTTACCTGTATGATCTGCGGCAAATTTCTGATTTTTTGAGCATTAGTTTCCTCACCTATAATATACTGTACTAAGTATACCATCTTCATGATGGATTAAATTAAATAACTTGTGTGAAGAAGTTGGCACAGCTCAACAACTAGCATATAGGAAGCATGTAATGAATGTTAAATGTTAAATTATTATTGTAGTTATTATAACTTGAATTATCTAACCTAAATTAAGAAGTAGATCTGCCCCAACTTGTAGCAGACACACTCCAAGAATGATGTATCTTTTTGGTAAGAGCTGAGAAAAAAGCCTTGATATTTACTTATATAGCCTTTAACTGTAGAACTTGTAAGGACTTTAAATGCTAGCTAGTACCTTTCCAGATAAAGAAACTGAGGGGGAGTGACTTTTCTAAAATCACCCAGGAAGTTTAAAAATCCCACAAGACAAAAATATAGTTCTTTGACCCTTGATCTTATAGACTTTTTCATTATATTGCCCTGTACCTTCAATAGCATTACAGTGAACAAAACATCCTGGGACTGGAGACCAAGTGTTGCAACAAATGTTTGGGAAAGGCTAAAAGAGAGCGAGCCAGTTAAGCAGAAGATCCAAAAGCCAAGTCCCACCACTGAGCACACACTTTCCAACACGGTGGTGCCAGGCTCTCCCCCTTTCCCCAGAATCTCACCTTTGATCACAAAACCTTCTCAATAGAGCAGTTTTATACCCTCAATTCTGGCCATTAGTCTTGCTGAAAAATTCTGACTTAAAGACAAATTTAAGAGAAATGTTAATATGTTACCTTAAACCACGCTGCTGCAGATTTGAAAAGAGGGGAATTTATTTTTGCTTTCACTTTCTATTTGGTCAGAACTTTGCCTACTTCCTGATTGTCGTATTAGCTGGTTCATTATCATAGTGGTATAAATGGGGCTTCCCACTGAAGCTTTAGTTCAGAAAGCACAAGAAATTAACAAGTGGCTTCAGAGCAAAAGCCACAACATAGCAAGTCAGGGTAGCCTCCAGCCTCTCCATGGCTGGGCTTCTGCTGCGTTTATCTTCCCCATCTCTCATCCCCACGTGTAAAGCCTTCAGAGCTAGCTTGTGCATGCCTGTGTGTGTGTGTTTAGTGCCAAGTTATTTTAAGACATGGTCTTAAATTCCTGTGCTGTGTCCTTATTGCTAGGAAATCTGACCCATCTACTCGAAAAGGTAGCTTCAAGCCTACCAATGACCTCGCAGTCAGCTTCTGTGGCCTTTATCAGAGGAGATTGTCCCAAGCTTTTCCATGCCTATAATCTCTTGGGCATTCAGGGATTGTACCTCCACCTTTGTCTCTCCATTTTCGCTTATCTGCCAGGTTGAATCGGGCCTCTTCTTCACCACCCCGAATACTCCACCTCTGTCCTCTGCTCTTTTCTCCTTTTATTCCTTCCCTCGGAGAATACGTTTAAATGCAGACGTTTCTCATTGATCTTTACTCATCCCACATTCCTCTCTCCTAGCCTTTCCTCCCAGGGTCCTGCTGGTGCAGTTCCGGCCTGATGGACTGTCTTTACATGGATGCGCTGCCAGCAGTTCAGACAGTGTCCTTCCCCCCAGTCAGTCCCTTTTGCTTTATCATGCACTTCAAACCTTCCTCCATGATCTGTGGTTGGACCATATAATTATTTTGATTCTGCCCCTGTCCAGTGTATTACGAAGCCCTGTTGAATTTTCCTTTTTATTCTTTTATCCAACTTAAAAAAAAAAATCTCAGTCATTAACACAGTCCAGGTCCTCATCACTCACGACAATGGCCTTCAAACAAGCCTTGCAGCCTTCCCACGGGCCTCGTCCTGCTGTCCACTTGTACAGTGCTGGCAGACCTGTCCTTTCCCCTGTTCCTTGGTCATGCCATCCTCCTGCTCAAAACCTGTCTGAGGTTTTCCTCTGTTTATACAGAGAAGCAGGTCCCCAGGTGGAGACCATGGGCGGGCAACTGGCAGCGTATGAGCCACATGAACTCTCATGCTCTGTCTAGGTGTTATGTGTAGATCCTAGTTCATGAAAGGGCAGTGCACCCACATGCGTGTTGTTATTGAGTGAAATACAGCCGCCTTGGCTCTTACCGTCTTACAGACCCCCTGTCAAACACTGGTGTTATATGCTTCACCCTGCTCTGCATTTGAGTTCACAAGCAACCTGGGCTCTGGCCCAACATTCAAATGCTGCCATGATCACATCCTAGTTAACTCTCAAGCCTTGATTCCTTTTTCTGTTTTTCTATTTTATTATTTCAACCTAGATGAACACTTTGATAAAGTAGGAGTAATGAGGAAGGAGTCTCCATGTAGGGCCAGAGGCACAGGCCGAATGAGGTCCCTCACAGTGGCATTTTGTGAAGTTAGAGGAGCACCATGGCGTGGATGGGAAACCGGTGACTGGGGAAAACAGGACCAAGAAGAGGAGGCCAATTCTTAGAAATCTCCTTCTGCAGCGGTGAGGGAAAGGGTAGGGGAAGCGTAGGGAGCTGGCGGTAGTTCTGCAACATTCCTTTTCCCAGGACCCAGCCCAGCTGCGTGCGTGTCTGCCTGTGTGTTCCTGAGTTCTCAGAATTCTCTCCTGCCCCTTGAAACAGAAGCGATGATGGGGAATGAAGAGACAGGGTGAGATATTGAGCTACGGAATCCTAGAAGAGAAAGTTGAGTAGAAGCCACATGACTTCGTAGCTTATTATTTAAAACTATTTCTCACGAAAAGGGTTTCCAATTTTTCATCTTGATAATAGAATAAGCTTTGGGATGTTTGTTGCTTAGGGGATTTACATATCTCACTCTTTCACTTCCTCCTCCTGGTCTTCTGACCCATCCCTGCCTCAGAGAAACCCTCCTTATTGGCTGCCTGAAACAGTGGCACTCCCTGCTAAATGTACCTCAGCCGCCACCCGGTGTCTGTCTCCTTAGCCTTTTGGTGTCTTTTTTCTTTTTAGCATTTATCAATTCCAGTTAATTCATTATGTGTGTCTTTGTTTATGTTATTTACCTCCCCACTAGAGCATATGTTCCTTGCTGGCAGGGAGTTTGTCTGCTTTGCTCACCACTGAAGGCCCGGGACCTAGAGGAAAACCCAGCATTTAAGTGACTCTCATAAATATATGCCGAATGGGTGAAGGCATTTTTAAAATTTTTAGTTTTTTCTTTTTTTCTTTTCAGAGTGCCCTACACTTGCTCCATACTTCAAGCTAATCCAGGAAATTTCCATTTCCTGGTGAGCCAGCATTTCCTCCTCTTTACTGAGGCTGCCACTCTATACGCAATACACCTACCTCTCAGTGTTCCCTGCCTAACCCTACCACAAGGCAAATGTCACGTCCAGGAAACCACCTTGGAAATGACACATGCTTTCTTTCCAAGCCCTAGCTATAGGCATTTGTTTAGTCAGTTCTGCTGGCCTTTACCTTATGCTAACATATTTGTGCTTCATATTTTTCCTTAAATTATCAACTCCTGAAGGCCAGGGGCCACACGATGCCTCCACCTCTTTCCAGCACGGCTCAGAGTGTTGTGCGCATACAGATGAGAATGAATGAGTTAACAAGAATTTCCAAAGAGTTGACACTGACTTGTTTGTAAAAATGTTCGAAGATTTTTACTAATTTTTAATGGAAATCTTTCTCAAATATATTACAAATATTTCCATCCCCTTAGGGTGTTCTCAACAGATTTAAATCTTTATAACTCAAGGTTCAAGATTTTATTATTATTATTATTATTAGCATTACAATCTGGACCCATAATCAAAAGAACTGAATGGAAATGATCTTAAAACAGGTCACTTCCTCGTTTCCAAATAAGAAGCAATAATTCTTTCCTTAATTATTTTAGAGGATTATTGTCAATCTCAGAATGAATTTGAGATGGTACGCATGTGAAAACAGTTTGTAAATGTTTTATAAACTTTTAAACTGATTTACATGCATCAGTGACCTTTATATTAATAATCTTCGGTGATTATACTATGCTTGATGAAGTGTTGCCCTTGAGGCAAATGAGATAATAAATAAAACCATGTTGCTATATATTATTAATCCTTGTGGGTACTATACAAGGTTTATCCCAGTTTCTCCATTATCAAATCTTTATTTATTTTGTCTTGCTCTTTTAGCTATTTTCAACCTCCCCCCAGGCCTATTTTCCTATCATTTCTTCTGAAGTGCTGTAAGCTGACAAATTAGCAAAGGAAACTAGTTGGACATTATTTCAGGCCTCAGATGCCTTAAAAATGATTTCCCAACGTGGCCCGTGGTGACGGTGTTGCAGGTGGTGACATGTCAGAGTAAAGAAAATGATAAATAGCCTCCTGACAAAGAAAGATTACAGAACCTCCTCCCTTTTTACAGCTGAATTTCTCCCCTAACATGGCACAGCTTGGTCTTTGTCCTGCTAGATGTTATCTCTCTGAACGCTGGCTTCCAGTTTTAAAATCCACTTCCTCTTATCTGCCTTCCACTTCTTTTCAAAAGAATCTCTAAAAATCTATTGAAAAGTACTTCACAGAATTATTGCTCTGCCTCTGTGCATTTTCAAATGAAACAGTGGCAGAGTCCATAATATGGTTTTTAAAATTTTAATTAAAAAAAAAATAAAGTTTCTCACAGTACAAACCTAGGGTCTGTGAAAAATATGAGGGGGGTGAGATTCACCTGGAAAATGCATTCTAGAGCTTCCTTTAAACTCATTCAGTTTCAACAGAAAATTAAAATAGCGTAATATTAGATTTTAAAGTCAGTAACGTCCACATTTCCTAAAAATGAAAATAGAAGAATGTCACAATAAAAATTCTTACATTGTTAATCTAGAACAGAATATTAATTAAAACTAACATTAGACAACTGCAATTGTACCATATTTAAAATTTTTATTTAATAGCCAGATGAGGAATTCTGGTGCTCCTGTCACTTTTCCAATTAAAGATCACATAAGTAACTGATGGCAGATTTTCAAAGAGGGAAAGTCATTACCAAATAAATAAAAGTGACTCAGAGCTCATTAAATACTGTATTTTGAAGGGAAATTTTTATGCTTACAACTGATTAAACCAATCGAGTATCACTTGGCTTCCCACTACTTAAAGATTTAGCTTAAAAATCTGTCAAAATTTCCATTCTGGTCAAGACAGAGTAGGAACTGGAATTTATCTCTTCACTTACAACAACCCCCAAAATGGACAAAGATAGTGGCAAAACAGTGAAAATTAGGCAACTGAAGATCAGTGTGTACCAAAGAGAAAATATGTTGAATAAGCTAATTCCCATCTCTTATCTGAGAGGAACGAGTGACTTTCTCTTTCTACTGCTGTCCCTTGTTCGACTCTGAAGCCAATACTGGGTATAAAAGTAGACTGTGTACAGTATGGGACAATGGCTATCCCTTTTAAAATAGCTGTCAACTAGAGAAGTCATGGAATACAATCTTAAGGCCATTTGTGTGCATTTTAATACTTAGCTTTCTAAATGTCCCTGAAATTAGCAAAATAGGTTGGCCGCCTTACCCTCAGAGCAAAGAAACTTTGAGTAACTTCGGTTAAGGATTTTAAACTCCAATCCATTATCACTGTCACCTGGTAGCCAAACAATAGATTCTCTTCAGAGGAGTGCAAAAGTAGCAGGAGCTTCATCTAGTGGTGACAAGTGTAACTGCAGAGAGTCATTTGTCACTGCCAACCCTTTATGCAAACACATTGTGTCTCAAATCATAAATCCTAAAAGCAATTAGATACATTCATGTAATGACAATCAAGACCTAAGATAATCAGTTTTATAGGTAGCTTTAAATTTCTGATATGTGCAG